CCCAATACTTATACCACAGGGAGTTTTCATCTTCCTCCATTCCTCATTCACTGCTCTTCACAATGGCTCTGATGGTGATTTTTTTTTTCTTTTTCAGGCTTCACAACCACTTTATTGTAATTATATACATATTATGGAGACAATGAACCCTCACAGGAAATACTTACCCAAAAATTTGCTGTGGAATGCTTTGGCAGATATATTTATTATATATTTCAAGCCATTCTGCACTTAAGAAAGATGACAGCAGCAGGTGTGTGCCTACCCTCACACTTAGCTTACATCTGCTGTCTTTAGTTATGGTAACCCAATGCACTGTCTCACAATGTGGGACCTAATTCCAGATGATTGTGGCTGATGACAACAGTCTTTGCACCTCTCCTCCACTACATTCAGTGTGGGATTCTAACTATTTATGGTTCACAGTCATGAGTAGCATTTTTAATGTTAATATTTTCCTCACTTGAGAATGTTTTGCAGATAGAATCTCACCAATCTGCACCACCTCCTACTCCTCTTCCCCACTTATGGGGATTAGCATGCATGGAGGATGTGTTGCCCTCCTATTGGTGGAGGACTATAGTTTAAGGATTGTTACATCATAAGCTGCTGCAATACACTTTGACATGTGTAGGAGTGGGAGCTTTGTTCAAAGCTTGTGGCATGTAAAGGAAATTACATGAAAGTGTGTGAGAGGTTAATTCATGATGTCAGAAAAATACATAGGTTCATGAAGTTTTGATACAGGATGATAAAAACCCTATAACCCGAGCACTTTTGAAAGGTGGACCTTTCATTTACAGGAGCAAACTGGGAATGGTGCAGAGTTGAGTGCAGTCATTAGGGTCATCTGGTTTTCCAGGAAATGTTTAGTATATTTTTCCATATATAGTTGTAAGTGTCTCATTTCCAGTACAATGTAGCTGACAATGAGAACATTATGTAAAAAAAAAAGGGTGTTAGGGATATTTTGCGTTAGAAATGACTAAGAATATATATATATATATACATATATACAATAAAAAACTGTACTTAAGTGTTTAAGTAAAATAAAGTTGGCACCTGGAGACTGATTGAAAAAGAGATGTTAAGCTAATCAATTTATACAAACAGGTATGGAAAATTATCTCAAACAAATAGTAAGTTTTAGGATAGTTAGGGTTCACACTACATGAAAGAAATAAGTAAAGAATAAAAATTATTTGTCTGACAGAGATGAAACTAATGATCGGAGATCACTGATTCCAGGATCTAGATTAATTCCAAAAGGTCGAACAGTGTTTAAATTAGCAATACAATAAGCTTTTTTTATTTCTCTATCAACTTTAGTTTTGAATCGTGTTTCAATGCTGATGAGAGGAACATCATTAATGGAATGACCGGGTTGGTTAAAGTGTTGAGCAACAGGCAGATCTTTTTCGCTGTTAATAGAAGACTTAAGATTGTTTAAATGTTTTCTAAGAGTTGTTTGTGTATGTCCTACATATTGTGATTGCATTTTTTACAGTGTATAAGGTAAATGGTGTTTTGTGTTCCACAAGTGATTTCTTTGAATATTTTGAAGTTTTTCTAGTTGTGCTTGTCAGAAAATGAGTCAGTAGTTTTTATGAACTTGCAGATTTGACAATGAGCTTTATTGCATGGATGATAACCATTTTTTGGTGGGATGTAATTCACTTTTGTGTGAACAAGGATGTCTTTTAGAGTTCTGCTTTTTCGGAAGGAGACAACGGGAACTTCAGGAAATATCTGTTTAAGGCAGTCTTTCAGTTATAGGAGATGAAAATGTTTTTTCAGAATTCGTTTCTGAGTTTAAAGTGATAGGTAATAATAATAAGAGGATTTATATTTGAAACTTTAGAATTGTTCTATTTTAGGATGTTTTGCCACTGAGTGTTGTTAGCCTTTTTGATCTGTCTATCGATTTTGGTATCTTTATATCCCCTTTGTAACATGGTTTGTTTTAGATCCTTGGGGTGTTTTCTTTAGTTTGTTTCATCTGAACGTATTTTCTTTATTGTAAGAGCATGACTGTAGGTAATGTTCCATTTAGTGTGAGTGGGGTGATAGCTTTCATAGTGAAGGTATTGTGGTCTGTCTGTAGGTTTCTTGTACAAGTCGGTGTGTAAAGTTCCATCCTTTAAAAAGACAGTGACTTCAAGAAAGTTAATTTGGGTGGGCGAGTAATCTAAGGTAAACGTGATTGTTTGGGGAAAGGAGTTTGCATATGAGATAAATTCTTTAAGTCATTCAAGACTGGCTGTCCACCTGAAAAATATGTTGTCTGTGTAACATTTCCATGTATGAAGTTTTTCAGGGCTTAGTTATAAAAGCTGGTTTTCAATATGACCCATAAAAATGTTGGCAAAATGGAAATCCATTTTGGTACCCCCTTGCAGTTCTGTTAACCTGAAAGTAATGTTCATTCTTGAATTCAAAGTTTTTCAGAGTTAAAACCATGGTTTGTTGTGAAAAACAGTACCTGATTTTGTCAACCCACCCTATTGAAAATCAACATACACTGAACTTCAAAGAAAAGTCTTTATGGACACCTCCACCAAACAGAGAACCATGTTTGGAGAGTTATGTTAATTAAGGCAGTAGAAAATGACATACAGATGTCACTCAACTCCCTTTATATATTACTCATTCGATTACACCACCATTCCCAGTTTGCACCTGAAGAAGAAAAGTATACCTTTCAAAAGTGCTCAGGTTATAGAGTTTGTATCATCTAGTGTGTGTAAGGAGGTAATAGCTTTTTGTGGTGCATAGTTGAGTATGAAATTTATCCTGAATACATTTTCAGGTAAGAAAAATTTTAACTTTTAAGCAGCTACACATCCACTGGAAGCAACATTAGTGCCTGTAAATAAAGCTAAGTTATTGGTAAGATCTCAAATGGATTGTCCTGTATCACATAAGGAACATTCCTTGAGTTACTTAACATCTCTTTCAAAGAGTTTGGACTTGACACCACAATTACTTCTACTATCAACAGGACCACTTTTAACTATCCTCTTTAGAGTTTTCTTAAAGCTTCTACTGAAACATAAAATTTTGTTTCAACTTGTGCATGAAGTAACCTTCACCAGCCATTTTTGTTTTGGGAGCTGCATAGTATTACTCTTGTACTTTTATAGACATTATGATTGGTTGGATGATGCCAATTGCTTAGTAATTATCAACAGTGGCTGCATGGGAGAAATGCCATAATATTTTCAGTTTATACCCATTTACTTACTATTACCATATTTATTTCCATTACTGTGTTTTAAATTAGGCATATTCTAAATTTCTGTTATAAAATTAATTTTGGATCATTTTAAAGCATTTTCATGGTGTATGTAATATTTATATTTATTTTGAAATGTATATTTAGTATAAAGAAATTTTGATTAACAAAAATAGTAACTAATTTTCAAAAATAATATTTTGGTATTCTTTTGATATAATTCTAGTTTTCTTTGTAGTAAGGTTTAATATTGTAATTAAATTTTTTGTTGTTTCACTAGAGGTAATTTCTTGTTTTAATAATTTAATCTTCTGTTTAGAAACTATTAGTACATACAGTGTATGTGAAAGACTTTGGCTAAGAAACCAAAAATTTATAGTTTAATAAAACCAAAAATGTGCATCTCCAAAAGTTGTTTAATTCTTCAAGTTTTTTAACTGATAGTATGAATTCATAAGATTATCTAAACTTTCTTATTCAGTATGTAGTGTATTTTCAGAAACAAAATACTTGATCCAATGCTTGTATAAGCCAATTTGAATTTCAATCTTAGCTGCATTTAAATAATTTGGAAAAGTCTTTTATTACTTTATAAAATAGTGTAATGTCAATTATTTGTACTACCATGAAATACCCATATTCTGCTGCATTGTTCAAAGGCTTTCTCATGACTCACAGAAGCTCCAGTGTACAAATCAAGCTCCTCAATTATCCCCAGTTATTTCTGTAGCCATCCCTAAGGATATCCATACTTTGTTAAGACACCCACCTGTGGTACCTGAGCACACATGCCACATTTGGTCTGATTAGCTTGTGAGGAGGGGTATGACTATAGTTTCAAACATAGTGCTCTGGGATCCAAAGGGGGTGAGGAACACAAAATCAGATGCAAACATGAAAACCTTTTCCTAGACAGATCTCATCATGCCTGGGTGATCATTTGGGTGCATTTTAGCCTTCCTTATAAGAGAGGTTATGGTAAGGACAACTCCAAGGCTGCCTTGGTCCTACTAGCATTAAAATTGTGAAAGTTACAAAATAACTTTTTACAATACTACCTACCATTAATTTCTTGTATCAAAATCAGTTATTGAATATTCTGGGCTGAAGGGGGGGCCCAGTGGTTAGCATTCCATATTGTGGTTCTGTGGTATGCGTCCTGTTAGTGATAAAAATTTCACCCTGGATTTTGGAGCTGTGGGTGTATCATTGATGGTTAAATTCAACTTTTCAGTATTACAAGAGTTGGCAGTAGGTGATGTTGACTAGCTACCTTCTCTCTAGGCCAATCCTATTAAAATCAGGAATAGATATATCTATTGTTACTTTGCACACAATTCAACAAACAAACAAATAGAACATTCCATTAGAGACTGACATATTTTAAAACAAACAAACAAAAATAGAAATAAGGCTAATTTTGAAGCTACTAATGTTCAGATAATATTGATTAATATATAACTAGCTCAGTTATTCAATATAATTTTTATTTCAGATTCTGGAAGTTTCTCGTGGTTAGATTCCAACTGATTTGCATGATTAATCTCTAGTAACTTTGTATATTTTCATAATTTTGCACATATAATATCCATATTTGATAAAAAAAAAAATATTAGTCATGTTTTATATGTTATTCTGATTTTTGGAAGGAATTTTACACAGATTTTTAAGTTAAACATTTATATATTTTTATCTGCATTGTATACAGATGTGATGTGATGAATCAAAAAATATTTTGATAATTAGAAGTATACATTACATAAAGTCAGATATATTTCTATTAATTGATTTTACAATGATTGAAAATTGAAATTCTAAATAAAAGTGTTAATTATTTGTTGGTGTAAATTATAAATTGGAAAAACATACTATTAAGATATTTTTCAACTAAATTAAGTGCCAGAAGGGGCTGAGTTAAAGAGGTAACTTTAAAAACAGTTGATGATATACTTGCATTTGCAACTGATATATCTCATCACCAGGAGATACTATTTCTCTAGTTCATCTAAATGAAGGTTTGTGTTTGAGTTTTGTATGATGAAATTGAAAATGTGTTTGCATTTACTAACTGTGATTTTTCAGTACTTGAAATATGTATGGTACCAGCAGAGGTATGATATTTTGTTTACAAGGTTTTTTAGTTTTAAGGACACCATCCTGGATCTCACAACTTGATAGGGACTATAACAACTTTGTATTAGAAATTAAAGCAACAGTATTTGCATTTAAAATCTTTTGGAATAATTTGTTTTTACTGAGTCGAGAGTAATATGTTTTAGCCTATGGATTCTAAGATGTTTATAAATTACAAAATATTATTTCTATTATACAAAATGTTTTGAATTAAAGAAAAAAAAGGGTGGGAGGATATTTGTAGAGAATTCTAAACAAGAAAACTGAGGCAGAAGTTGTCTGCATCTCATATCTACCTTTCTTTAAAGTCTATATTCTTTTAAAGTTACTATTCATTACATAGATTCTGGCTGAAATAAGGTGCTATGTAATGGGGTATTATTGGCTAATATATTTTGGATATTAAGCAATTGTCACATACTGTATATACACAGAAGCTAAAAGATCAATATAGTGGGGTGAAATGGTGGGAAATGAAATTTAGTTGTGGAAATCAGATCAGTATAGAGGGGAAATGGTGGGAAGTCAAATTTAGTCATACAATTCAGATCAGTATAGGGTAGTGTTTCCAAAGCTGTGTTCTGTAGAACTATGGGATTCCATACAATATATCCAGGGATTCTGTGAGAAAATTTTATGTAGTGTAGTCAGAGTAAAGGAGTAGGCCAGGTATAGGTATGGCATTAAATCTCATCAGCCCATAAATCATACCACTGCATATTCCTTTTGTCATTGGCTATTTCATTTATGGGTGGAGTCTAATTGATGACTCACTGTAAGTTAGTCGCTAGTGATAATCGAGTGTAGTGTTTCAGGGAAACAACAAGCTAGTCTTGAGATAACTTTTTAACATAAGAATGTTTTTTAAGAGTTCTGTCAATAGTTTTTGAGCTAAAAAGTGTTCCGTGGCTAAACAAGTTTGGGAAATGCTAGTATACAGGGATATATGCTCAGATCAGAAAGTAGTCATTGTGAAGATTTTAGTGTAGAAGCCTCTGATAAAAATGAACTTCCCAAATGATTGTTTTTTTATGTTTGTGTATTAGATAAAACTGAGAAATACAGTTCTAATTATAGCCATTTTTTTTTCATTGTAAGAACAATATTTTTATAATATAATGAGCCTGTCATTGGACAACCATTTGGTCAAAAGAGATAACACATAAATTGATATCTAAAAAGGAGTAAATTAATATTTGAAATGTTGTGAATTCAATAGTTATCCTTTGAAGGAAACAAAGGTATGTTTTTTATACTAATTTATTGTATTTTTATGGCTACAGAATTATATATATGAAACATATATTCTTGTTGTTTTTATGCTCGTATATTACTAACTATGTTATAATGTGAATTATGTAATGTTATGCTTGAGCTTGTGCCAAATATGAAAGTGAATGTTTATTGGTCTGTTTGAATACATTTTATTAATGATAACATCTTTAGCAATAACAATATATATGCATTTAAACAATGTTTATCGTTTGACCTAAGGTAGAGTTTTATTTACAGTCTTAACAAGTGTTAATAACATAGAAATATTAGTAGCATGATAATTTACTGTAGTAGTAAGATAAATATTTTCTTAGCTTCTGTGTGTGTGTGATAAGCATTGATAAATTTGTGTGTAATTTTTTAAAAGGGGATGGTATACTTACATACATAAAGAACTATTTTATTTACGAGTTCTTAACTTTATAGCTGATAAATGTTATTAACATACAAAATGAACAACTATTTGGAAACAGTTTAATGTATAATCTTTTGTTTGATCTAAGAAAAGTTTCTGGCTATTAATCTTGAACCATACTATTGTTAAATTGAATGTAAATAGTTATACTGTTACAATGGTCTAGTGGTTAGGGTGCTTAATTCGCAATCTGAAGATTGCAAGTTCGAATCCACGTCATTGAACATGCTCATCCTGTATGGTTACCATCTGGGCCTGCCACCTGGTTGTATAAATTCTTGGCTTCCAAAATTACTGTCTAACCTCAAGCTAGTTGAGATTAAGGTCATTATGGAGAATAAGAAGTGTATACTGTTACATATATATTAATGGTAACCTCAAATTATGAACTATAGTTTGTAGCTCATTATTTATGTTAAATAGATGTTTTATATTTGGTTCTTAGATTGAAAATTAACTAAAGGCAAAATTTCAATTACAATTAAAAACATGAGTTATATAACTAAATACAGTAAATAAAGCAAAATTCTTTTTTAAGAACAATTACTGTGAAAGTAGGAAACAAAACTAATAAGTTAAAGCTTATAGAAAAAAGTGAACAAGAAAATATAAACTCAGTTAGAATTTTAAATTACAGTTTACTATGTATAGAATCAAGCAAATAGTATTAAAACCATAAAGTAAAAATGTTTAAATGAAAAGAGAGTATGGCAACATAAAAATTTCTAAAATAATATTGAAAACATTATGAAAAAAGCTGCAAATTTGTATATGGTATGTTGTTTATAAGTAACATTATAAATAACTTGTATATCAGCTGCCATTTATCCTTATAACAGGCCTGGTTTGTTCCTTATCTTGAAGAGGGATGAAATTACCAATATTTGATGGCATTTGGTAAATATAAGTAGAGTTATTTTTCACCAACTTGTAAGGTTTTGATCATACTGAAGAATTTTTAATGGACTTTATACTTGTATTATAAAAGTATTTTATTTATTTATTGAAAGCTAATGCTGGGATTGTAATGTTACAATTAAAATTCATTTAGTAGCTATTTGATGTTTGTAAGGGATACGTGATCAAATATTAGAATTATTGATTTTCTTTTATGTAACACTCACTAGGTACATGTGTATCTAGACATAGTTTTGTTTGAAATGACTAAAGTTTATTAAAATTTTAGAAACAAACTTCTTTCAGTTGACCACTTCTCTGTTGAAGAAAGTTGTGAGCTATTTCAAAGATAATTTTCTTCACTAGCTGGGTTTGTATAATAACTTTAGGTTGTAGATAAGTACAGAATAAATTAATAAAAAAAAGATGTATACTCATACTAAAATTGTTTAAAGCAAGTATTTGTTCTTATATGGACATCATTTCATGAAGTTTAAGAAGTGATTTATATAGTTATTTACTTTCTAAGTAACATGCAGACATGTACGTATGTAATTTTACTTTTATTGAGTAAATTATTTAAGATGTGAGACAATTAAAATGCACAAATACTTGGTATTCCTGATGTATTGAAATTGGATAAATGATTCGTACTTAAAAGTTATGTTTCTTACATTGTTTTTACCATTATAAGTGTTTTCTATGAAGACTAGAGAATTACCATTAGATCCACTTCTGACAATATTAAAAAACATTTCTTTTTGTTATTGTAATGACTAAAGTTTTGAAATGGGTATCAAACTGCTTTCATTTCCTTCATCTTTGAAATATCTAACAAAAATTATAAGGGAAAACCAAGCTTTCAGAAGAAGAAAAGGATATTTATCTAATAGCTAGGACAATTGTTTTTCATAGTTCAGTTTTTATTCCTTTTTTAAGTCAGTTATTCATTTTTATGTGTCTGTGGACAAACCAGTACTCTAAGTGCTAGTTGCATCCACCCATTGGTAACTGTACTTTCTTGATCTGCTAGCATAGTCTCAATATTTGTTCTTTTTTGATTAATGTACTGAAGATTATTTATGCTTTTGTAAATATTACCCTGTAAGATAAAGACAATCATTACATAACCATTAACATCAAATGTATGCATGTTCAAACCATCCTCAAATTTTATTTTGTTTCCATAAATTATCATTATATAGACATATATATTTTCAATTTAACCTTTGACCCATATTATCAAAACATAATTTGTACATTTCACTCATCTATTCAGGAAAATAGATCCAACTTATTCAGTTTTTGAGAACTTTTTTTTTTTACTACCACATTTGAACTATATTTATAAAAATTAAACTAAATGATCCAGTGTGTGTAACACTCACCCTCTCTAATAAATATGTTTGTTTAATGGTAAAAGTCATTATTTATAGTCACCCATAAATACAACTGTCAAAATTTAATCAGATAGATTCTGGTTATCACTCAACCTGTGCTCCAAGTTTCTTTCTCTGGTTCCAGATATAATGTTCATTGTGAAGTGCTTACATTGGCTGATCTCAAGTATCTCCTTGTAAGAAACTAAATACTGGGAATGTGAGGATAGTTATTTTAAAGAGTAGGGTGTGATAGATGGAGAAGAATAGGCATAAATCCAATTTTAAAAGTTACTTTACTATGATACAAGATTGAAAAAAAAACTGTCTTACTGCCACGAATAAAACTGCTATTGTGTCAGCCTGTTTCACGAAAGTAAGAAAACCCACCTAAAAAATAAAAATTTATCCACTCAGTTACTGTTTTAAATACAATTTATCATTATCTATTACTAAATTCTACTCATTGTGCAAAGTAATTATAAAGAAAAGTATGTATTTAAAAACTGATTATTCTAGGAAAACAAAACATTGTCATTGGTGCATTGAGAATCGTGTTTGGGTGTCCTGGTACAAGTTGTTTCAGGATTCTATTATAATGCATAACTAAAGCATTTATCAACAAACACTGCCTAGAATAGATGATACTTGCAGTAGCTTCATTTAGGATAAACTTGATATACTGGTTGAGAATGATGGACAGCATATTAAATACCATCTATGAAAATGTATAAAATACTTTGTGCTATGGCCAAATTTCATGAAGAAAACTTTCAATTCTATTTGTATCTTTGGTGAAATTCAGCATCTTTAGAATGAGTAGTATTTAAGATGTAATAATTTAAATGTGGGTTTTCTATATAGTCACCCTGCATATGTTTTCAAATAAACTGTTGATATATTAGACTTGATAATGATTAACTATAAGCTCCCATTTTTATTGACAGAAATTGAAAGAATTATTAAAATAATAAAAAGTATTATAAGTATAGATTTTCAAGAGACCAAAATATGAGAGGGAAAAAGAAGACAATTTCTGGAAACTGGAAGTATATATTAGTACTTGAAAAATTGAAATTACTTAGCTTAATGCCATCACTAGTTGAAAATTATTAGACACCTGTTCTGATTGAAGATTTTATAAAAAGATTCACAAGAACTGTAGGTAATTTTACCAAGGGAAAATTTTAAAACTACTGTTCTAGCATTCCTAAACAGAGCTGGGGCATTCCTATTGGTGCCCAATGTACATTACTACTTCTGATTAGTCCTAGAGACAGCATTCAGAGTTCTTACAAGACAAACAGATCTTTCGTCCGTCATAATATTATGTTCTTTGATTACTGCTAATGAAAATGTTATGAGCATATGAAGTAAACTAGTTTAGTTGAACATAAATTTTGAACAATAACTCAGAACAGAAAACAAATATATAATTCCAAGATAAGTTTTTCCTTGCTTGTAGACATTTTTAGATACCTGCAAATTCCAAACTAATGTGTTGTCACTTGGTTTTGACTACCAATCTGTCCATTGGTGGGTCAATGGTAAATTTATAGCCTTACAACATTCAGAGTTGATTCTTCATGGTAGACAGAGTGCAGATAGCCCATTGTGTAACTTTGTGCTAAAAAATGATGACTACTATTCCAAAGGTTTGCTTTCTTTGTACACAATGATCACACTGTAGTGACGGAAATTTTGAAATTTCTTCAGACCACTACCAATTTTTTTTGAGAGGTTTTGGATTATTAGTCGGAAAATAATTTGTACTTCTACTGACCTTGGCTGAAATTTTCACTGACATTCCAATTCTAAAAACACATTGAAATCTTCTAAATATATTACTTTTGTGCAATTGAAAATTTAGTGTTAGTTGACTCTCTTAGATCTTTGGAAAAGATGTATGAAAATTTATTGTGGCCATTTTTATTTCAAGGCTTTTTTTTTTCTTAAATGTAACACTTTGACACAGAAAGAGAACGTCAAGATGTAGAGATAAAAGTTAAATTCTGTAATAAAAAAATAAATGCAATTATTTCAGATCTATTTTTATTTATTTTGTATTGTGTAACAGCATAAGTTATAATGTTAAGTGTGTTACATATGAGAAAATAATTACTTACATGTATTACTTTTACATCATAAATATTTTGTAGTTTTAAGTTCAGTTACCCATCCACCCCCATATCTTTTAGTTTTATTTTCATCTCATAACAGGAGCGTCAAGAGCCAGCCCAGGCTCAGTAATGTCATCGCCCCCTTCCTCCTCATTCTATTTATTAACTTTTGCTGATTTTTCATAAAAGAAATTTAGGTGACAAATTTCTTCATGAATAAGCAGTAGCCATTTTAGCTCATTAAGTAGTATGCATTTCTAGTGAGCTTTGGAATAACCCACTGCCGGACCCCGGGGAAGTTGCCCTCCTTGCCCCTCCCCTCTCGTCAGCCCTATCTCTTAAGTATATGCATGATGTTAGAAAAATACGTAGGTTCAAGAAGTCTTGATAGAAATGAATAAAAACCCTATAACCCGAGCGCTTTCGAAAGGTGGACCTTTCTTCTTCAGGAGCAAACAGTCCACCTTTCGAAAATTCTCGAGTTATGGGGTTTTTATTCATTTCTTAAGTATATGCGATATTCGAAACCGCAATTTTGCTTATCAGGAAGACTTTTTAAACCAGCTAATATATCTAATAAATTATTTTATGTCGCACATCTCAGTTCATACGTTAGTAAAGATGGAATGGCAGGGCTTCTGAGCCAGGTCAGTTGCCGTATAAAACTCCAAATCCATTTTTTGTTGGAAGTGCTGAATTTACTGGCTTTATAAGTTTCAAGAGTGTGGCACGGTACATGATCACATATAGCTACAATCTTTGCTAAATAGGTGAAAACTCAGATGGAATTCAAATTTACAAGTACATGTTGCATAGTGATTTTAACCTTGAATTTTCATCTATAATCAACAAAATCCCTGTTACTTTAGCGTGTCACGTTCAGGAGCAAAGTAATAATAGTTTGCCGCTCCCATTAGGTAGTAGGACAACCAAAATACCAATTTAATTGTTTTAAAATCAGATTAGCTGACATTGTCCATTTTCACAATCTTTAAATTCACAACAGCCAAGGAATTTGTTTTATGACTTAATTTGATATCTTGGGAGGGAAATCTACCAAGAGGATGTTTACTTTGCATAAATAAAAAATTGTGAATTTAAAAATCTGCAAATAGGGATCGAAAATAAGTAAACGAACAAGGCTGGATATGCTGTAGACATTACTTACAAACTATATACCCCTATTTTGGCTTCATGCTGTCACCTAAAAGTCAAAATAGGGATTTGTAGTTTGAGTAAATAATGTCTACAATAATATCCAGCCTTGTTTACTTTTTTACAATCCCTATTTGCAGGTTTTTAAATTCCCAATTTTTTTATCTATACTATTTACTGGCCTTTTTTTTGTGTGCCCAACTATGGGCAAAGTAGAACTTGATATGATAACTAACTTTATACATTGTAATGATAATAAACATAGCTAGTAGCTATCTGATAAAAAAAAAATTATGCAAATACGTGGGAAAAGGGTTTGCTTTGAAATTTTTTTACTTAATAGGTC